TAACACTCCAAAGAGAAAGGAAAAATTGAAATCGCATCATATGACCCCTTTAAACTTTGAAACTAGTATGAAAGACTTGCGCATCAAGGTCTCAGCTGTTTAAATTTTCTCTCAGAAGTGAAATGTTATCTCATAGCTGTTTCTTACAGCCTGTTCCCAAACACAGGAATGTTCAAAAATGTTATGCATTTCCAGAATAGATCAGCCTTTTAACGCCCTCCTCGTTGTTTATGAAATACAGAAATCCCTCCACTCAATCTCTGTTCGGTTAAACCTTAATCAAGACATACGGCTGCCTTTGTGTCCCAGGCGATGTCATTCGTTCTCCTTTTGAACTGGCTGCTTTGGGAGCCATAAGCATGCGCTCAGTGTCACTCACTGTTTCTCCAGCGCTTTGTGTGATTTATGAACCAGGGGACTGAAAGGGCTGATTTGTTTGTGTTTTTCTCATTAAGCATATGGATCAAATATTTCCTATGAATAAAATATTCATCTATGGCTCTTAGAAGGCTTATCTGCAGGCCTTCAGCTCCTGCTTAATTGTTATACAATAAGTCTCTTTTCAAAGGCATAAAGAAAGGATGACGCATGTGGAAGGAAAACAGTACTGGTTTATTTGAGTAGCACCAAATCCCACACATATTCTCCTCTCAACGTGCAGCTGAGCCAATTTCCATAGCTCAGGGGTGTTCAACCTTTTTTCAGGCCAAGGACCCCCCTTGGTGGGTTGAGAAATTGGAGCAGGAACCATATTGTGTTGCATTTTAAGCCTGGCCTTTATTAACCCATAATATGCATTTAGTATCATAATCATGTATTGGCACCATCTATGGAAGCCCGTTACCACCATAAAAAAAAAAAAAAAAGGTAATTGCAACTTTTTGTCACAGTTCTGACTTTTTTCTCGCAATTGCAGGTTTCTCAGAATTGCGAGATATAAACTTGCAATTCTGACTTTTTTCCCTCAGAATTGCATGAAATAAACTCACAATTGCAAGTTATGAAGTCAGAATTAAGCCTTCTTTTAATAAATCCTTCTGTCGTCACTCGGCTCGGCTAATGTCCGTCCGGTGCACTGAGCGCTCTCTCGTCCCTATCATGAGTAGACACGCCCCTTACTGCTGATTGGCTACAAGTTTGTTTTGGTCTTCTGCCCGAATCAGTTTTTGAGAAATTTGAAATTTTTTAGCGTTTTTGAAAAATACATACCCCACCTTTAAATTGATCTAGCGCTACAGTCAAGACTTTCCCATCATAGGAATAAATTACATTTTTAATGCACATTTATTAACTTGCCTGCGCTTTAGATCTCAACATGTAAAGCACACCTAAATTAACTTGTACAACATGCGACCTTGTACCATCACTTTTCACATCATTCACTTACAACCAACATTGCACTTTGTAATCTTCAATTTGGACATATGCAGCATACACCCTTATTATTTTTTATGGACTGTTTCTGTCTCTTACAGAGTAACACTTCCCTGAAGAGCAGTGGCTGCAATATTTATAGATGTACATTGATATGAAATCTGTCCATATTTGCAGTTCCTTTTGACAGCGAAGGTCCTTGTCACGCATTGGATTGTATTCAAGCTATGAAGTCATCTTAAAGCTCCTCCATTTCAGATGAGGCGAATCAGTTTGTTCCATTTGTTAAGAGCTGATCTGAAAGATATTAGGATCGTTGGATGTTTGGATAAGCCGTTGCAAATGTCTTGCTAGTAATCCAGAATCATAAGCCAGAACCTGCAAAGGAACCAATGCATTTTCAGGGTTCTCTGATGATTTGTTAAGCTTATCCTGAGGGTTGCCTTATGGCGTCTTTAGCTAGTATAACGAAAATATCTGTTTCAGGCCTCTTAGACACTTACAGAAGCCCGTGGTCGTGAGATGTTTGCTTCATCTGTCATTAAGCACTGGATGATCTGCCAGAAAATACATCTCTTTCACAGTTTGAATTCAGTCGGTAGCCATCATCTCTGGATGATTGCCTCACCTTTGCACCTATTCCAATTTATCATTTAGATTATATCTTTGAGTATGTTGAGTAGTAGGGGAACTGGAGCTGGGATGCAAACTCTGATCAGGTGGCCACATGGCTATCAGCTCTTACATTTGACTACCTTTTTAAATCTTTATAATGCAGCATGTATAATCCTTCGTAAGGCCATAAGGCCAATAACACATTGATTAAATAATTAGCTTGTTTAATTATTTACATACTTAAATTTCACAGCTGTTAAAATGAGAATTTATATTATACACTTGTGTGTATGTAACAATGTAATGTTTTTGTAATTTTAATGTGGAAGGGACAAGGAGATGTATTTAACCCGTTTTTTCTCTCCAAAAAATGAGTTCAAATAAAGTGATAATTGATGAGCCCCCTTGCAATATCGCTGCAGACCCCTGTTGAAGATAGTTTAATTTTTTTTTCTTTTTTGTGCTAGCATTTGTTACACATTGTTTGTATTTCACTTTGAACTAGTTTCAGCATTAAATAATTTCTGGCTAAAGGAGGAAATTCTGTTTGGATAAAGTGTGGATTCAAGTATGTTTTGGTTTTCACTTTTACTCAACATTTGGATTTCAGTTCTAAAGTGCCCCTTAAAATTCCTTTGTTCTGTTATAGGAAAAAAAGAATAGTGTTTCTGAGTTTTCAAAGTATGTGTTATCTAAGATGATCTGATCTTATGGAAAAGAATAGGATATTGTGCAGACAAGGCATGATACTAACCAGAAAGGACAAAGAGAAATGGGCAAAAAACTGCATTTCCAGTAACTGAGACACTCCACATACCAACTTGAAAACGAATGCAGACGAGTCCCTCTAAATGATAAAAGCATGTCCTTGAAAAGCAGAGGAATTACAGTCCTTAGAAATACTGGTCACACTGTGAAATTGGACTTCATCCATGATTTTGTTTGTGAAAGGGCATTTGTCTGTAGACTCAGAAGGAGCTTCTGACTATTAGACCCTACGGCAATAGCAGTCAGTGATGTGAATTAACACTTGCCAAGCACGCAATGCATGTAAAACCAAAATAATATTTTTGGAGTTAAGGTTTTAATGTTTTTTTTTTTTTCTTTACTTGGGTAACATGGCTGAGCTTAATGAATGCAGTCAGCACTACAGTTTGTGTAAAAATTGGAAATTTAATATTATTCACTTTTCTGCCATGTTGTAGTGTTCAAATGATGTTACTTCATAAGTATCTAAATTTTAAGCAGGTACTTTTTTGTGTTAACAGGGCTGTGTACAAAATATATTCTAAAATTAATTTATTTAGACATATTGAACTGCAAAGAGTTTACTCATGGTGTTAATTTTCTTAAGCAGAATAATGTAATTTTCTCTGTTTCAAGCGGTCAAGCAGACAGAGAAATGGAGAGACACGTCTGACTGATTTTAGATAGAAATACAAAAAGTTGTAGCGTGGGTGTTGTATTTTGATGTGTATTACGAGGACACGCTTCACAGCAAAACAAGATGAACCTAAACACAAATTGAAGACAAACTTGCTAAATTAACGAGGGGCTCAGTGAATGATTGTCTGAGTGTGAGATCCGGAGAGGAAATGTCTTTAGTCTATTGCATTTATTTTTTATTTTTTGCAGGCTTCACCATCTCTGTGGGCACCATGCTGCTGCTCAAAAAATGAATTTAGTTATTTAATCATCATTAGTCTTAGTGCTGTTGTTTTTCCCTACATGTGTCTGTTTTAAAAAGGATAATAAAAAGGCTTCCATAGGGAAAAAATGTATGCAGTTTGTGTAATGTGTCGTGACATGCAAGTGTAAAAGAGTTTTTTCAGTCTGCATTATTCTTCATAATGATTATGCAGGAAAAGTCCATTCAGGAGAGAGATCAGTTACCTGTTTTGTAACACTCGTTTTAGTTTGATTATCTCTTTATGCTCGATTTAACCTGTGCTTTGCTGTAGTGCCAAATGGACCTAAAAGTCCATTCAGGAGAGAGATCAGTACCTCAGCTGTTTTGTAACACTCGTTTTAGTTTGATTATCTCTTTATGCTCGATTTAACCTGTGCTTTGCTGTAGTGCCAAATGGACCCATTTCAACCATGTGAAATTTTCTCTCTAGACACAGCGAGTGAGTTCTCCTCTCCAGAAGTCCAGAGCAGCCTGTTACAGAGAGAAGTCTCCATTCCCATAGGGAAGATGTTTGAAGACCCTGTGAAGAGACACCCCCAGTTCATTATGTAACAAGAGTATCATTTTCAAGGTTTTTCTGAACTGAATGTGTGGTCTAAATGTCATGAAGTGATTTTGATTTCCAACATATTATGTACAATAGTTTTTTTTAATCATTTCATTATAATGTTTTCTCCAATAAAACAGAAAAAAAAGTTTCATGGAATGTCTGTAAATCATTCATAATTTCATATGGAACTTGTGTACTCAACTGTAGTTGATCAACTGATGCAGGACTCCACAGAAGTATGTGGTTTGAAATCTGCCCTCTTTGCTCGTGAGTGACTAATTACATTGGAGTTGGAAGAAAAGGACATCGGGAGATCACAGTCCCCGGTCCTTCTCTGGAAACTATCCTGTGGCATGAAAGGAAGCAGATTGATGGTTTCTGTTTTTGAAGAAACAACTGTTAAAAAATGTACAGTATTTTTTCAGGATACACAGTGGATAAATTTAAGTGGATATCAATTGAAAAACATGCTTGTGATAAGTTTGTAGTGACGGTATCTCCCAGCAAGGACTAACAGGGTCTGTAAAACCTTGACTCTCTGCTATTATGTGTTCAGAGTGTTATGAAATGCATCTTACCTCCTGCTTTTGAACTGTTCCCAATTGTGCTTTCAAGAGTGATAAATAGTGAGGGTTTCCTGTGCTCAAGATTTCTGATTCTCATCCAAGCAGATAAACAAACTCAAGCATGCGCATGCACTGTAAACAATCTTTGCATGTAAGTCCTGTCGCATCTTTCTTGTATCAGAGCTCCACTCTACACAATTCTCTTAATGATTACATGACTAAAAACATTACACTTGTCTACAGTGGAAAAGCCAAAGCTGCACTTCACATTAGTGTTAAAAAAAAATCACAGACCAGTCAGTTATAAGCTTGAGGCTAGACTTCAGTAAAATGTATGATAATGTGTAAGAGTGTGTAAGAAAATTAACATTATATATATATACCGTATATATATCATTTTGATAGAAAATAGAAGGCATGAGGAAAGCCAAATGACTGAAACATTAATAAAATTTGTAAAGCTGCAAGTTTTTTTTTTTTTTTTCCAAGTTTTAGAATAACAAATACATTTTACATGTTAATGTTGCGTATATGTAAACAGCAATTTAAATAATGTTGCTTTAATGTCCTTGAAAAAATGCTAAACTACTTCTCAAAGCGGTCCCTGTGCTCAAGATTTCTGATTCTCATCCAAGCAGATAAACAAACTCAAGCATGCGCATGCACTGTAAACAATCTTTGCATGTAAGTCCTGTCGCATCTTTCTTGTATCAGAGCTCCACTCTACACAATTCTCTTAATGATTACATGACTAAAAACATTACACTTGTCTACAGTGGAAAAGCCAAAGCTGCACTTCACATTAGTGTTAAAAAAAAATCACAGACCAGTCAGTTATAAGCTTGAGGCTAGACTTCAGTAAAATGTATGATAATGTGTAAGAGTGTGTAAGAAAATTAACATTATATATATATACCGTATATATATCATTTTGATAGAAAATAGAAGGCATGAGGAAAGCCAAATGACTGAAACATTGTTAATAAAATTTGTAAAGCTGCAAGTTTTTTTTTTTTTTTTCCAAGTTTTAGAATAACAAATACATTTTACATGTTAATGTTGCGTATATGTAAACAGCAATTTAAATAATGTTGCTTTCATGTCCTTGAAGAAATGCTAAACTACTTCTCAAAGCGGTCCACATCCCTAGTCTCAAATTTTTTGTTCCTATGGCAACGCTCAATACCATAGTGTTTATTTACAGCTTTGTTATTGATGACCGCAAAATACTTAATCACTACATTATTTCACCTCTATATTCTCTTGCACAATATTTAAGAACAAAGAAAGCTCACCACTGGCTATAATAACATTTAAATACATTTCTGTAAATGACATTTCAAGTGGTGTAAATGTGAGAGGCTTAGGAGATTAGAACAAAAGCATTCGGCACCATTTGTAACCCTTTAATGGAATTAGCAGAAATTCTTTGCATTGGACACATTTATGTAAAAGGAAAATACAGTAACAGTGACTCACTGCAGATGCAGAAGTAATGGTTCAAGGCCCCTATTCGTTCATTCTGCTAGTTGATTTCTTGTGCATTTCTTTTGACTGGTCCTTGACATTTTTCTTACCGCATTTCTGAGAGTGATTCTCTACCTACATAATATACAGTATTGTAACTCCCTCTCCTTTTCTAGGGGACGGCAGCTGTGACATGTTGAATTTGCCTGTCATTTGTAATCATTGGTGAAGTGTTCACCATAAGCTGCTTTTTAAATTGATTTTGTGTTTGTTTGAATGTGCACTGTAGGGGCAAGATAATTCAATCTACTCAAGGTCTAAGGAAAAACAACATGGAGGAGAAGGGAACGTAGGTAATAAAGAGCGGTTGTGTGTGCGATCGATACAGTAATTGAAAACAGAATGCAAATACAGTTGAAAAAAGTGGCAGTAAGTGACAAATGACAGGCTGACTGCTGCTTCACAATTGCTTATTGTTCACAAATGTATAAAAGATGTTTAAATGTAGTCCGCAAGACAAAATAATAGCTGAATTTATAAAAAAAAGTTTACATATGCGTGATTCTTAATATTGTTTCATTACCGTTTTTTTCTCTTCTTCCTCTGATCGTTGTTCATGAGCACATTGTTTTTCCTGTTTTTCAGAAAAATCCTCCAGGGCCCGCTAATTCTTTGGTTTTCCGGCATCTTTTGCATATTTGAATTCTTTCCAACAGTTACTGTATGATTTTGAGATCCATCTTTTTACAATGACAACAATTGTAGGAATCATACGCAACTATTACAAAAGGTTCAAACATTTGCTGATGCTCAAGAAGGAAACATAATGCATTAAGATCTTTTGGTCAGGATGAAGATTTGTACATGTTTCTTGTTTTGTTTAAATGAGACCTATTATGCCCCTTTTTACAATATATAATATAAGTGTCCCCAGAATGTGTCAGTGAGGCTTCAGCTCAAAATAATCATATTTATGACATTGTTGAATAGTGTTCAAGAAATAACATTTATACTATGTACATTATTGTATACATATATTGATTTGTGGAGTTTGATTTATATACTTAAGTTTATGTAAAAAAAAAAAAGTTTTTCTTTTCTTTACACCATGATTATACTGTGTTTGATTTAATTTGCCATGTAATCGTTGAACTTCCTCTTCTGTTTGTACTGAGTAGCACGACCAGGTGATTGTTATTAGACTAATTAATTGCTGCTCAAAATGAACTCAGATTGTGTTTGTGACAGAAAGATAGAGATGGCGGATAAAAAAACAAAAAAGGAAAATGTCTGCAGAACAAAAGAAGACTTAAGGCAATAAGTAGGACCCGTGTAAATATTGGATCAGCTTTCCAGTGCTGGAGAGAACTCAAGGAGCGGAAGGCCTGTTCACAGAACTAATCGTTGCCTGGGTTGCGTACGTATGGGTGGGGCGGAGCTATCAAAATAGGGGCGAGACCATTTTGGGGTAGGGGTGTGTTTGTTTTGGTGATTTCAAATGTTAACATTGACTACCAGAAATCGCTTACCCCACCTTTAAATATATTTTTTCATTTAGTACTGCCCTTCAGAAGCTACAGGAGATACTTAGGTCTACATGTTTCCCAGAAAAGAAAATGAGGACAGTGGACATTGCCTCCAAATTTTTTTTCTCCTACAAAATGCTATTCTCCCAGCTTTCCACTCCTTCATCGCTCTATATCTTTGTTTTCTCCAACTGCAACCATCTTTCACTTTCCCATGTGTTTTGTATCTCTTTACCCTCTATTATCTATGTCTCCCTGCTCCTCTGTCTCAGGCTGGAAAGCTCCTGTGCTTGTCATCCATAGTCATAACACCTCGGTCTCTGGGTTTGGAAAGGCACTCATGCAAGCAGGGGGCTTATCGTCAGAGCCAAGAACCAAGAGGGATGTGCACACACAGACCCTCCCACAAATCCTTCTGAAAACACTGCTCTCTCTCACACACACAACTTTCCATAGCAACAGAACAAACATACAGCATTGCAAATGGGCTTGTTTATTTATTAGTAATTGTTTTTTTGCAAAATCATAAAGAAATCTCATGGATTATTTTTATATTCTTTTCTTTGTCTCAATCAGGTGTATACTATTTAAAAATGTATGCTGAGAATGAAGTCAGAATTGCTTGATATAAAGTCAGAATTATGGGATACAAACTCACAATGGCGAAAAAGTCAATTACCCTTTTTTTTTTCCAGAGGTGGAAACGGTCTTCCATAAACGGGCTTCTTTAAAAAAACTAAAAAAACATTAACTTTAGTTAGGAAACTTAAGGAATTTTTCTAAGAATTACAGGAACTGTACATTATTATGAACATATTTATTTACATATATATTTATTTATTTATTCAATTATCCAAACCACTTATTGTGTTGCAGAGATGTTGTAGCCTTTTATTTTTTAGTTAGTTATAGGTTGTTAGTTATGCATTTATTTTGTGCAGTTTGTTTCTGCTGGGTTCAGACTGACTTTAAACAAAAACATAATTAAAATGAATTCTCATTACATTTTAGAAAGGTGCATGACTTTGTGGTTAAAAAGAGAGTTCAATAAAAAGTTAATTTACAAATATATATCATTTTTGCATATTCATCATTGGAGACCCCAAATACAAAGAGAAACCTTAAGGTCCATTTAGCTTCTTAAAAAAAACAACATTAGGATGATACTCAAGGAATTGTCCTAATCTTACAAGAACTGATTTTTTTTTTATTAATGAACATTTATTTATGAATTGATTTATGAATTTATCTATCTATTCTCCCAATAGGTTCTCCTATAGGGTCACAGGAATGCTGGATCGATCCTTTTATATATGTTATCTGCAATGTGTTTTTGCTGGGATCAGACTGCCTGAAAACATAATTAAAATAAATTCTGTTCACATTTCAGAAAAGTGCATGATTTTTTATTATTTTTTATAAATGCATATTTTTATTTTTATATATTCATCATTGGAGCCCCCAAATATAAACAGAAGTAAAAGTCTTACAAGAAAAGAATATAAAGACTGAT